GGCAGTGTCACTGGCCCTCATATGTGGGATCCGAACCGGGCCCTCTGGCGTCCCAAGCCAGTTCTTAACCATTGCGCCACTCGGCCGGCCCTCACTTTGTTAATTTTTAAGAAAATGCCTGCTAAATGCCCAAGACTGAGTAACTATAGTTTGTCTAACAGTTGCTCTTCCAAGTAAAAATGACTAGTTGAGCTGGAAATTCAGTCACCCAAGTGTCTTGAGGCAGCTGTCATTCTTAGTAGTCCCAGATGTGCTTCCTGTGCACTTCTCAGTTTGTCACACAAAATATTAAAAAGACCCCTACTCCAGGATGGAGATTTAATAATATTAATAACTTTTACAACTTCATCAAAGACGTTCTTGAGTGAAACTGACGTTTTTCTAACTGGGAGTGTGTGGCATTAAAGGATGCAGGACCAGCAGTTGGGGCCACTGTCTCCAGGGCGGCAGCACTTTTACCCACTATCACATTTACGTCATCATTGTGTCAACTCAGTGAAAAAGGCAAATAATGACTGACTATAATATGAAAATAGTATTGATTTCACAGACCCCTGAAAGGGGTTCAGGAACCCCTAGGCAGCCACAGACCACACTCTAAGAACTGCTGTTTTGTTTTGTTTTTTTAAAGATTTTATTGGGGATTTTTATTGGGGAATTGGGGAAGGGGAACATTGTGTTTTTCCAGGACCCATCAGCTCCAAGTCAAGTTGTTGTCCTACAGTCTTAGTTGGAGAGGGTGCAAGCTCAGCTCCAAGACTAGTCGCCACTTTCAATCTAGTTGCGGGAGGGCGCAGCCCACCATACCATGTGGGAATTGAACCGGCAACCTTGTTGTTCAAAGCATGCCCTCTCACCAGCTGAGCCATCTGGCAACTCAGTGGTACTCAGCTTGAGTGCAGCTCACTGGCCCATGTGGGAATTGAACCGGCGACTCTGTTGCTCAAAGCTCGCGCTCTTAACCAGCTGCACCACCCGACCGGCCCCAAAACTGCTGTTTAAGCACAGTCACACACTCTGGTTTCAGTCCATGCTCAAGGCAAATTGAGAAATTTGAACTTGTCATTGTATTTTCTTGGACCACTTTGTGTCTTTAGAAGCAGCCACCCTTTCTCTAATACCTGCTCATTATCCCCACAGTCTGGCCTTTGTTGACTTTAAGCAAATAGGTGTTTTCCAGCAAAATGGGTTTATTCGGGAAAAACAAAGAATTGTTATCTTGGACATGGGGTCTAATGGTGAACCACGGGCAAGTTCAGAGATCAAAGGAGAGGACCATTCTTTTACAGAGGAAAGGGAGAGGGGCTGTTGTAAGGAGAGTCCATTGGAGAAAACTGGGAGGTGAAGTGTAGTGGCTTTTCATTGGCTGAGATGTAACCATCAGGGCGGGAAGCTGCTCCTTCTTCCTGCAGGAGTAGAGGAGAAACCAGCTTCCTGTTGGAGATGGAGAGTAGGTCTCTTCTTGTTTGGGGAAGGACGGGAGAGCTCCCCCTACAGGCCATCTGCACTCCAATCTACATGGGGTTTCTGTTTATCCATCTTCACACCTCAACAGGCTCTTGCATGCAGAGCAGGAAAGGCCAAAATGAGCTGCTCTGGGCCAGCTGGCAATGGACTTCCAGATTTCCAATACCAGCAGGGTGTCCCCAACGTTCAGCCTCAAATGAGCCTGATGAAAAATTCTAGATGTCTGTAAGCCGGCTGCTTGCAACCCAAGGGAAACTGACCGGCTGGCTCATTCAAAGAGAAATAGCGATCAGAAGGGTGTGGGAAGGCGTGAGCCACAGGCCGTGGGAAGAGGAGGGAGGGGAAGTTGGCTGACGTGCACAGGCGGAGCCGGGGGAGGGCCTCGTGGAGGGAGGCGGGCCTGGCAGGCTGCAGGGAGAGCCGAGCCAGCCTGCTCCCCGCCCTCCTCAGCTGCCCCAGGCTCTGGGACTTCCAGGGGGCCCTGGGTGGGGAGAACTGTGGAGCCCTGGCCCCCGCTGCCCTCCCACCAACCTGGGCCTTTTGGGAGGTGGCTGGGTTAGGGCCTGCAAGGGGCACAGCGAGGCTCTGGGGCCCAGGGACAGGGGCAAGGCAGCCGCTCCTGCTCTGCACTGGGGAGGCTCCCCAGGGGTGGCATCAGGATGGCAGTTTTGGACCCAGAGGAGCAGTCCACCGAGCAGCCTCGCCCCCCTCCGCCCCCCCCCACCAACACCAGGGCTCACTCTCTTTTCCCCACCCAGGCTCCTCTGAGACCTGCTCCCTGGAAGGCAGAGGCCGGTCCACCCTGAGGCATGTCCTCGGTGGCCCCATCGCCCAGGTCCAGTCCAGGCTCAGAGCCCTCCTTCCTGCCTCTCCAGTGCCCCACACACCCCGTGGAGCGGCTCTGGGGAGGGACCCTGCCTCATCTCACAGGCTGAGAGGGGACAGCAGAGGGGGATGCCGTTCACATCTGGGCGGGGAGGAAACCCGGGCAGGCAGGAGTTTTCTGAACAGAAAAGAGCTTGGGCTAAGTCTCCCAAACACACTTGAGCCTATTCTCTCCCAATGCCAGTGCACAGCAGGTGTGGGGAGGGCCAGGGAGGGTTTTGGGCAGGACAGGAGGGCTTGGACATGTGGCAGCCTGAGCAGGGCAGGGAGGGCGGTGGGCAACGGCCACCTTCGATGGCCACACCAGGGGTCGGAGTGGAGGTGGGCGTTCAGGAGGTGATTGAGTCTTCAGCCCCCAACATGTGAATTTGAAATACCGTTTCCCACTCAAAGAAACCAGAGCTCCTTGGAGAAATTCCAGGTCTGCAGCAGTCTCTGCAGTAGGCTGACAAATTTCCCCCCGCCCCCCCAAGATGTCCATATGAAACCCCTGGAACTTATGAAAGTGACCTTATATGGAAAAAGTATCTTGCAGATATGATTAAGTTAAGGATCTTGAGATGAGACCATCCTGGATTATCTGGGTGGGCCCTGAAAGTCATGACAAATATCTTCATAAGAGGGAGACAGAGGGAGACATACAGAGAAGCAACAATGTGAAGACAGAGCACAGAGATACAGCCATCTGAAGCGGAAAGAGGCAGGAGGGACCTTCCTGGGAGCCTCTGGGAGGAGCGTGGCCCTGCCAACACCTTGATCTCAGAGTTCTGCCTTCCAGAACTTGAGAGAATAAATTTCTGTTATTTTAAGCCATCAAATTTGTGGTCATTTGTTATGGCAGACACAGGAAAGTAACATTCTGGGTGTCTTGTCACACCAGGCAGCAGGCATCCCCAGAGGCTGTTGCAGTCATGTCAGAAGGACCTAGGAGCCCATTGGATGCCCCGCCCCCTCCCGGTGAGGCTAGGACTACCTGAGCACCAGCAAGGATAATAATAATTTAATGATCTGAAGCAGAAACATGCTGAAATCTGTACCTTCTTAATACAGACAGACTAATTGATTGCCTGTGAAGTATGTCAGAGAATCCACTTTTGCAAATCAGTGAGTCAGGGGAAAGGCCGGGGCGTTCACTTGCCTTTCCTGTGTAAGGGGAACCGGAAGCACAGGAGGGAGCTGCTCCTCACAGCAGTGCGACCGGAGGGGTGGCGGGTGGCATGGAGCCGAGTGGAGCCTTCTGACAGGTTAAGGACACTGTTGGATGCACCTGAACACAGGGCCTCCTGACAACACAAGGGATGGTCTGTGCCTCCCGATAAAGCACACGTCACTACCTCTAAAGCACTCCTGCCCGCAAGCCACACCTGAACCCGATCATCGGGAAACACTGATAGGTATCAGGGGGCCGCAGTCAGCAAATTCTGACAGAAGGAAGTTCCTGCAAGATCCACTTTCTTCAAAGAAGCAAACTGCTAGAAGACGGGGAAGTGAGCTGAACTGTAGCCCTGAGGGGTCCACACGGGGTGAAACCACACAGGAAAAGAGGTGACTGGCCGAGCCGAGGTGGGGGCTGCACCTCAGGCACGGGAGGGCACTGGAGCTTTCATTCGTGGGTCATGTTTACAGCAATTAACCTGTGCATCTGTTATATGATGTTTTCTGTAGTGCATGCTTTTAGCTATGAGGTGTCTTGTTTTGTTCCTTTAAGAACACTGAGCCCAGAGAACTTGGTGACAGTTCTGAGAATGTGGGGGTGAACAGGGTGACCCTACGTTCTGACACTAGAGCTGGGAGGACGAGCAAGATATGTATGGTGACAAGCACAGCAGAATACACGTATCTCAGAAGCCATGGCCTTGCCTGCCCTGCAGCCACAACACGCCGGCCGCAGTGAGGGTCATGGTCAAGCTGCTTCACGGTCTTTATTGCCACCGGACAGAGTGGACTAAGGTGGGAAGTACAGACCATAGGCGGGTGTGTGGGGTCAACAGAGAGGCTGCGGTGAGCTGTCACTGTGCCTGACAGTGGCTGTCACCCTGGGGCACTCGGCTGGGCCTCAGCGGGGTAGGTAGGCTGGTCACCAGCTTAGGACACCGGGGCAGTACTTGTCGATGAGGCCCTGATAGTAGGGCCGCAGCTTGTCCACGTCTGGCAGGTCGGGACACTTGGTGTACAGGTCAAACTTGCTGCATTCAGGGAGGGACAGTTCCTTGGAGAAAAGCCCTCCCCCGCAGTCCCCCTCTGTCCCCCTTCCCAGTCCCCCAAGGGATGGCCATACTTGAACTCTTGCACCCAAGGCAGCATGGCCAGGTCCTGCTCACTGCACAGCTGCCGGTAGTCGCCACCCGTGTGCCACGGGTAGAAGGAGTGGAATCGGATCATGTAGAAGGCCTGAGGACAGAAGAAGCCACCCAGCATGGTCCAGGCTGGCCCGGGCTGGGCAGGACTCTTAGTTTGGCCCCGCCCCCTGCCTACCTCCGGCGGGAGGGAGAATTTGTTGAACTTCATCATCTGGTACATGTACTCTGTGGGAGAAAGGGTGTCACCGCCAGGCACCCAGAGGGATGGCCCCCACCACAGGCGGACCATCCCTGCTGCCAGCCTCTGATGGGCCTCACCATCATGGCCCCAGGACATGAGGACGTTCTCCAGCCCGCAGTGGAGCTGGTACATGCCGAGTTCCGTGCTGCAGGGAGAAATGGAGGGTGAGAGGGCTCAGGAGCGCCCTGTGGAGGGGGAGGACCAACAGGGCTGGAGCGGCACCTGTATCGAGGATCTTGGAGGTCAGGGTTGTCCTGGAAGGTGGAGTCACAGAAAACCACAGAGGCCTGGGGACGGCAGCCGACTGGGAAGGTGTCTCCAACCACTGCCCACTGGAGATGGACAGGCAGCCGTGGGTGGACGTAACTGCCTTGCCCACCAAGTGGGTGCTCTGAGCCCAGAGCTGAGGCTGTCCCGACCCTACCCTACCAAGCCTTCATTCCCTGCCCTCACCTGAGGCTCCCCTGCCAGAGCCAGGACCTTCCCCAGGTCGTGCAGGAGCCCCACAAGGTGGAACCAGTCTGGGAGGGAGAGGAACAGGGTGGGCTAGTGGGGGAGTTGGAGCCAGGGCACAGGAGGTACAGGCGCTGGCTGGGGGTCTGGGCCTGCTGGGAAAGGGCACCCCTGTCGGCCCTTGGAGGCCACACCCCCACCGCAGCCTGGAGGAGCAGGCTGGGGTCGCACCCTTGTCAGGGTGGGCCTTCCGGATGCCCTCCGCCGTCTGGAAGGCATGGAAGGAGTTGGGGAAGTCCACATCTGGGTCTGACTCGTCTATCAGTCCGTCCAGCATGTCCACAGCCTCCAACACAGTCATTTTCTTGTAGGAGAAGCCCCCAAACTGGGCGTGCTGGGCCAGGAAAGGAGAGCTCAGCATGACCACGGGCCTGCTGGACCAAGGCCCAGTCCCTCTCCATCCACTCGGCCCTGGGAGTGGGGGAGACGGTGCCACCCTCGGAGTCAGAGTCGCTGCAGAGGAGTCAGCCGGTACCTACCTTCTTCCTGACGAAGTCCACCGTCTGCTGCGAGTGCATGAGCTTGTAGGTGGCAAAGACGCGGTCCAGGAGCGGGCCGGACTGCAAGCCAGAGGGTCAGCCAGGCGGCCCCCACCCCTGCGCTTCTCAACCCGGGGGCCCACTGCCTCCCTCTCCCGGGCCTGGCCTCACAGGTGTGAACCGGGCTTTCCCGAGGGCTGGCCCTGGAGCTGAGCAAATGGTACGTGCTATCCTCACCAGGGAAGGATGGGGCCCGGGGAGCAGGGCAGGGGAGGGGGTGGAGGGCGAGGCCCCGTGGGATTAGGGGACCCAGGGACGTGCGGTGGGGTCCTCACGGTGTAGTTCCGGAAGCCGCTCTTGTCTTTGGCCGCCTCTGGGACCAGCTCAGGCCGGTAGACCAGGGAAGGGTCTGGGCCCTGGTTGGGTGGGGATTGAACCCACTTCACCAGGATACTCCATCAGGAAGTGCGGACACCCCCTTGGGGGTGCGAGACTAAGCCGAGGGTCAGCCGCCGAGGCAAGCGGCCGCGCCAAAGCACAGCCCCTCCCGAGCACAACCATCTCCCACCCCTGCACCAGCCAGCGGCCTTGGCAGGCCGGAGGTGCTTTGTCGGCCTGGTGTCCTTGTCTGCAGGGCGGATGTCAGCGGATGCCTGCCTCCTAGGTGACGCCGTGTGGGAGCACAGCACCCCCAGTGGCATGGCCTTCTCAAGTCCTGGGTCTACTGGAAGCCCAAGGGTTGGGCTGCTGACCCTGACCCAGCTAGACCACAACAGGAAAGAGGAAGCCCTTTGCTGGAGGAGCAGGCTGGCGGGAACCAGCTGAGAAGGGAGACAGCCAACGACCAGTAAGCAGTCAGTAAGGCCGTTCTGCGCAGGGGTCTGGGGAACTCACCACAGCTACCTTCATCCTGAGAGGGAGCAGAGCTGGCAGGTGGGTAAGAGTCCCACGGGGCTGTGTGCCCCTATATATGCCCACAGGTTACATAAGTGACCAGACACCACCCAGCCCCTTGACCTCGGCCCTTGGTAATGAGTGACCATCCGCCCTCCTCCTGGCCTCAGAAGTTAATGTGTCAGCATGGGAGCGGCCTCAGCCCCCTTCTCCCTGAGTTCACACTCCTGGAGCAGCTGGACAGCTCAGGGTGTCCTGCCGCTTTGCCCACAGGCTTTGACCACTGCAGTACCCACAGTAGGCCCTCAACAGGTGGTGCAGACCCCAGACGACACCCCGTCACTGCAGGCCCCTGGGATTCCGCTGGGCAGGGCTGGTGTCAGAACAAGTTACTCTGACACTTGTTAAAATAGGAAAACTTGACTCCAGGCTCTTGCAGCAGATGGGAGCGATCGGGCTCTGCTCCGAATACAGTCAAGGCAGCTGGAGATTCATAGCCACTGAGCAGAGCAGGGGACAGACCCAGGGAAAGCCCTGAGACTGAAAATCTACTCTGTACACGGAGGGCAGGAAAAGACCAAAGTAAGAGGCTGCCACTCCAGTCTGGTAATTAATAGGGTTTATTAAGGGAAACTGACCCTCCAGGTATGGCGTCGTAGGCGGCTGTATGATGAAGCGGATCCCCCACCCCACTCAGCAGGAGCGGAGCTGTGTAGGGTGAGGCGGGGAGAGTCACGGGCACTAGTACAGGAATGCCACCAGGTACGGAAATTGCTAGACATGTTGACCTGGTCGGGACAATGGCCAGTTCCAGGAACCAGCACACAGCAGGAGGCAGGGGAGGGCTGCTGATTTATGTCACAATGAACATCAGCTATGATCAGACAGCCTGTAAGCGGGGTTTGCAGCAAGCACTCTGCCCCTCTGCCCTGGTTCCAGCTCACGTCCTGAGGTGTCCTGTCCTGTCGTGGAACAGTCCCTCCTGGGGGGGGAGGGTCAGTGGATGGAGGATTGCTGAGAGGAGACATCAAAGGTAGAGGCATTCTTGCTGAAGGCAGTGCAGGGAGATGAGATCTCAAGGGCGGGGCCTCCGCTAATACTGGGCGAGGCTGCGTGGAGCAAAGGGTTCCAAGGAGCCTAACTGAAGTTTGGTGTGTGTGTGTGTGGGGGGTCTCTGTTAGGCTCTTGTGAGGGGCTCCTTTTAGAGTCTGAGCAGAGGTGCTTTAAAAAGTCACTGGCCATGTATGGGCCAGGTCTAGGCACTGCAGACACAGTAGGTCCAAACTGACAAGCATGCCTGCCTGAGACTGACATTCTCTAAGGAAGAGGCAGATACAGCAAAAAGAGTCATTATCTTGTATTGAAAGAGGCTGTGGCAGTGGAGCAACACTTTGTGGGCTGGTGGGCATGTGGGTCAGAACCCACTCCAGGCTTCACTACAAGGCAAGAACCCTGAGGGAGGTTCCTCTTACCACCATGGGCTCCTCCTGCCCACACTGAAAATAAACAAAGACGGCTGCCTCCCCCCTCCCCCATTTAAAATGCAAAGTGCAACTTGCCTTCAGGGCTCCCAGCCCCTGTCCTGTCCAGTAGCACCTAGAACTTCTAACATGTGCGTCATTTGCATACTTTGCCTGTGAGGTTTGTTTCCTTCTGTCCTCTCCCACTAGAATGTCAGGCCCGGGGAGGCTGGGGGAACACGTTTTATTCCCTAAAGTTCCTGCATTTTCCAGAAAGATGGAGGGGGGGGGATCCCGGGAGGAAGCTGGAGCTATCACCCCAAAATAGGTGGTGGCTTCGACCCAGAGAGGGTACAGAAATGACTGGCTTACAGGATTTGGATGAGGGAGATGGGATGAGGAGAGGAAGTGTAAGCAATAACAGAAACAGAGTCCCTTTAAAATGGAGGTGGCGCTGCCATCCCAGAGGAACTGCCTGGCATGTCTTATGCTTCAAACCTCTGGAATGTTAAAACAGGGCAAAATAACCTTTGGACTGGGCCTAAACAACCTTATTTCCCAAATTACTGTGCAAGGATAACAAGAAAGCAATTATGACTACTGGGCTGATGGCTACCAGATGAAAATTAAAAACATTGTTTAGATTTAGTATCACTATGTTAGCCTATCTGCACCAATAGAAATGCCTTCTTTCTATTGGTGTAACTGTCCCCCTATAATAATGGGTATAAATACCCCATAAATAATGGGTATTTCTCATTGCCTTTGCCTCCTAATTGGAATAGTATTTGGGCTTCTGCCTGAGTCAATGCTTCCCAAATAGCTATTCTTTCAATCTCAAGTAAATGCTTGTTTTCTCTCACTTTGAATGCCCTTTTATTTTTAGGTTAACATCTGGTGTCAGGAGTGGGATCTACAGTGGCCTCACCTTCATGGATGGGCGTCCCCTGAGACCGGATCTCGTCTCTGTAGAGCCTGTATTCACTGCTTCAATGGCCTGCTGTCTCTTCGACAGTGAGGTCAAGGTCAAATGACTTTATTTGAGATCAGGAGGATTTTTTTTCCCCTCAAGGGAGGAGTTTTTCCCTTAAAAGGGGCGATTTTCCCAGGTATCATGGTCCAGGTGCTGGCATGAGCAGGAAGCCGCAGGAGCTTCCCACCTGTGGGAAAGAATCTTTTTTTCCTCAGGAGGGACTTTTCACAGCTGTCTTGTAAGAAGTGCCCTGGGGGGTGAGAATCTCTCCTGGGGTTTCCCTGGTGGGTGAGGAGTCATTTGATGGCACACCCTCTTTCCCTTTCTTGTCTCTGTTATGTTGTTTGTCAGAAGAAAGAGGTTCATAAGGAGAGAAATCCCAGTCTCTCAGGGACAATGGGATACATTCTTTGATAAGCAGCTTCTTCTTTTTTTTTTTTTTTAACTTTTATTGGGGAACAGTGTGTTTGTCCAGGACCCATCAGCTCCAAGTCAAGTAGTTCTTTCAATCTAGTTGTGGAGGGTGCAGCTCAATGGCCCATGTGGGGATCGAACTGGCAACCTTGGTGTTATGAGCCCTGCGCTCTAAACAACTGAGCTAACCGGCTGCCCCTATAAGCAGTTTCTAAAAGACAAAATAACTTCTTCAAATGAAACTTTGGCTATCTGAGCAGGTGCTTTAAAAATTTTTTATTGTTTATCCTGTGTGAAACCTGACAAGATATTTCAAAGAATTTAATAACTCTAAAATCAGAAATTTGGCAAAATTAAAAGTCTAATAGGATTTTTTTTAAGTCTCCTCAGTAACTTCCAAGGCCTTCCTATAGATAAACAGAAATGTAAACACAGCCCACAATTGCCTGAGACAAAAGAAAAAATAAAAAGAAGGAAAAATATTGGGAAAGAAAACTTTCTAAAAGACACAAGCAGCTGAAAAGGTTCCTCTGCCTAAGCAGCACCGCTAATCTCCTTAAAAAATTGTTTATCACAGACAAATAAAAATCTTAAAGCCTTAGCATTGGAATGAATAAACTTATTTTAACTGCTATAAATTAATGAGCTTTTGCCTTATTTTACCTGTCTTATGGCTAAAATTTAAAAAGTAAATAAAACTATCATGTCTGTGTTTCTGTCTGTCCATATATATACATATATATACACACACACACACACACACACACACACACACGTATGTCTACCTCTGGAGGATTAATAAAATTGGTTTATAAAAAGTTCTAATTGCTTAAAGGAATTAAATGCTTATATGAATTAACAAATATAACAGAAACTAACTGAAAAGCTTTTCAGGATCACATGACCTGGGAATATATTTAATATTAAAACTGATTTAAATTTGTTTTAATTTAAACACATGTTTTTAGAGATATTAACATGTAATATATTTATTTTATATGGGTTTACAAAAAGATAAGTTTATGTTATCTGTGTCACAGAGTTTGTCAACAGGAATATAGTTTAGGATTATAATTGACTTTGTCTGATGTCTCATACAGTTTTCATGAGTAATCTAAATATAATTATTGAGAATAAATTAAATAGATGTAGATAAAATAAGTTATTTTTGATGAACTTTTCAGCAATAATTGTTTTATGGTATGTGTACTTAAAAATAGTTTCCCGGGCTGGCCAAGTGGCGCGTTGGTTAAGAGCTGGCTTGGGACGCCAGAGGGCCCCGGTTTGGATCCCACATATGAGGGCCAGTGACACTG